GATACAAAATTAATGCACAGAAAACTGTTGCATTCCTATACACTAACAACGAAAAATCAGAAAGAGAAATTAAGGAAACACTCCCATTTACCATCGCAACAAAAAGAATAAAATACCTAGGAATAAACCTACCTAAGGAGGTGAAAGTCTTGTACTCAGAAAACTATAAAACAGTGATGAAAGAGACATACCATGCTCCTGGATTGGAATAATCAATATTGTGAAAATGACTATACTACCCAAAGCAATCTACAGGTTCAATGCAATCCCTATCAAATTACCAATGGCATTTTTCACAGAACTAGGACAAGAAATTTTACAATTTATATGGAAACACAAAGCACCCCGAATAGCCAAAGCAATCTTAAGAAAGAAAAATGGAGCTGGAGGAATCAGGCTCCCTGACTTCAGACTATACTACAAAGCTACAGTAATCAAGACAGTATGGTACTGGCACAAAAACAGAAATATAGATCAATGGAACAGGATAGAAAGCCCAGAAATAAACCCACACACATATGGTCACCTTACCTTTGACAAAGAAGGCAAGAATATGCAATGGAGAAAAGACAGCCTCTTCAACAGGTGGTGCTGGGGAAAAGAATGAGATTAGAACACACCCTAACACCATACACAAAAATAAACTCAGAATGGATTAAAGACGTAAATGTAGGGCCAGACACTATAAAATTCTTAGAGGAAAACATAGGCAGAACACCCTTTGACATAAATCACAGCAAGATCCTTTTTGACCCACCTCCTAGAGTAATGGAAATAAAAACAAAAATAAACAAATGGGACCTAATGAAACTTAAAAGATTTTGCACAGGAAAGGAAACCATAAACAAGACAAAATGACAACCCTCAGAATGGGAGAAAATATTTTCAAACGAAGCAACTGCCAAAGGATTAATCTCCATAATATACAATGAGCTCATGCAGCTCAATATCACAAAAACAAACAACCTCATCCAAAAATGGGTGGAAGACCTAAATAGACATTTCTCTAAAGAAGGCATACAGATGGCCAACAAATACATGAAAAGATTATCAACATCACTAATCACTAGAGAAATGCAAGTCAAAAGCACAACGAGGTATCACCTCACACCAGTCAGAATGGCTATCATCAAAAAATCTACAAACAATAAATGTTGGAGAGGGTGTGGAGAAAAGGGAACACTCCTGCACTGTTGGTGGAAATGTAAATTGATACAGCCACTATGGAGAACAGTATGGAGGTTCCTTAAAAAACTAAAAATAGAACTACTGTATGAACCAGCAATCCCACTACTGGGGATATACCCTGAGAAAACCATAATTCAAAAAGAGTCATGTACCCCGATATTCATTGCAACACTATTTACAACAGCCAGGACATGGAAGCAACCTAAATGTCCATCAACAGATGAATGGATAAAGATGTTGCACATATATACAATGGAATATTACTCAACCATAAAAAGGAACAAAATTGAGTTATCTGTAGTGAGGACCTAGAGTCTGTCATACAGAGTGAAGTAAGTCAGAAAAAGAAAAACAAATGCTGTATGCTAACACATATATAGGGAATTTTAAAAAGTGGTACTGATGAACCTAGTGGCAGGGCAGGAATAAAGATGCAGATGTAGAGAACGGACTTGAGGGCACAGAGCGGGAAGGGGAAGCTGGGATGAAGTGAGAGAGTAGCATTGACATATATACACTACCAAATGTAAAATGGATGGCTAGTGGGAAGCTGCTGCATAGCACAAGGGGATCAACTCGATGCTTTGTGACGACCTAGAGGGGTAGGATAGGGAGGGTGGGAGGGAGGCTCAAGAGGGAGGGGATATCGGTATATATGTATACATACAGCTGATTCACTTTGTTGTACAGCAGAAACTAACACAACATTGTAAAGCACTTATACTCCAATAAAGATGTGAGAAAATAAATTAATTAAATAAAATTACCTATATCAAGTAAAAAAAAATGAAATTAGAACATTCTCTAACACCACACACAAAAATAAACTCAAAATGTATGAGACCTAAATGTAAGACCAGAAACCATAAAACTCCTAGAGGAAAACAGGCAGAACACTCTTTGACATAAATCATAGCAATAGTTTTGTCTCCTAAAGCAAAAATAAACATATGGGACCTAATTAGACTTAAAAGCTTGTGCATAGCAAAGGAAACTATCGCAAAAACAAAAAGACAACCTACTGAATGGGAGAAAATATTTGCAAATCATATGACCAATAAGGGGTTACTATCCAAAATATATAAACAGCTTATACATCTCAACATCAAAAAACAAACAACCTGATTAAAAAATAGAAGACATAAATAGACATTTTTCCAAAGAGTAAATGCAGATGGCCAACAGGCACATGAAAAGCTGCTCAACATCACTATTTATCCGAGAAATGCAAATCAAAACCACAATATCACCTCACACCTGTCAGGATGGCCATCATCAAAAAGAACACAAATAACAAATGTTGGTGAGGATGTGGAGAAAAGGGAACCCTTGTACACTGTCGGTGAGAATGTACATTAGCGCAGCCACTGGAGAAAACAGTATGGAGGTTTCTCAAAAAACTAAAAATAGAACTACCATATGACCCAGCAATTCCACTCCTGAGTATCTAACCAAAAAAAGCCACAAAAACACTAATTTGAAAAGATACATTTGCCCCAATATTGATAGCAGCATTATTTACAATTGCCAAGATATGGAAGCAACCTGAGTGTCTGTCAACAGATGAATGGATAAAGATAATGTGGTAGAGACTTCCCTGGTGGTCCAGTGGTTAAGACTCCGTGCTCCCAATATAGGGGGACCAGGTTCAATCCCTGGTCAGGGGACTAGATCCCACATGTATACCACAACTAAGAGTTCCCATGCCACAACTAAAGATCCTGCACATGGCGATGAAGATCCTGCATGCCGCAACTAAGACCCAGTGCAGCCAAATATATGTATATGATGTGGTATATATATATACAATTGAATACTAGTCAGCCATAAAAAAGAATGAAATTTTGCCATTTGCAGCAACATGGATAGACTTCAGACAAAGAAAGACAAACACTGTATGATATCACTTATATGCGGAATCTAAAAAATACAACAAACTAGTGAATAGAACAAAAAAGAAGCAGACTCACAGATATAGAGAACAAACTAGTGGTTAACAGTGGGGAGAGGGAAGGGAAGAAGGGCAATATAGAGGTGGAAGATTAAGAGGTACAAACTATTATGTATAAAATAAGCTACAAGGATATATTGTATAACATAGGGAATATAGCCAATATTTTATAATAACCATAAATGGAGTATAACCTTTAAAAATTATGAATCACTATATTATACGCCCGTAACTTATATATTGGGTTGGCCAAAAGTTTCTTTCGGTTTTTTCCGCAAGATGGCTCTAGTAGCACTTAGTTGTCTTTAACTTCATTCGAAACAATTTTGTTAGATTGTATGTGACAGCTGTCATATCAGCATGCATTTTGAAAAAGAACTTATCAAAATTGATGATTTTTTGTGTAGCCATTTTAATACGGAAGATGGAGGGGAAAAAAGCAACGTTTCTGGCATATTATGCTTTATTATTTTACAAGAAAGGTAAAAACGCAACTGAAACGCAAAAAAAAATTTGTGCAGTGTATGGAGAAGATGCTGCGACTGATCGAACATGTCAAAAGTGGTTTGCAAAGTTTCATGCTGGAGATTTCTTGCTGGACAATGCTCCACGGTCGGTAGACCAGCTGAAGTTGACAGCGATCAAATCGAGACATTAACTGAGAACAAGCAATGTTATACCACGCGGGAGAGAGTCGACCTACTCAAAATACCCAAATCAAGTGCTGAAAATCATTTATACCAGCTTGGCTATGTTAATCGCTTTGATGTTTGGGTTCCACATAAGTTAAGCAAAAAAAAAAAAAACCTTCTTGACCGTATTTACGCATGCGATTCTCTACTTAAATGTAAAGAAAACGTTCCGTTTTTAAAACAAATTGTGATGGGCGATGACAAGTGGATACTGTACAATAATGTGGAATAGAAGAGATCGTGGGGCAAGCGAAATGAACCACCACCAACCACACCAAAGGCCGGTCTTCATCCAAAGAAGGTGAGGTTATGTATATGGTGAGATTGGAAGGGAGTCCTCTATTATGAGCTCCTTCCCGAAAACCGAATGATTAATTCCAACAAGTACTGCTCCCAACTAGACCAACTGAAAGCAGCACTCGATGAAAAGCGTCCAGAATTAGTCAACAGAAAACAAATAATCATCCATCAGGGTAACGCAAGACCGCATGTTTCTTTGATGAGCCTGCGCGTCCGGAGCCTGTGCTCCGCAATGGGAGAGGCCACAGCAGTGAGAGGCCCGCATACCGCAAAAAAAAGAAAAAAAAAAATACACCTACCATACGACCCAGTAATTCCACTCCCAGGAATTTACTCAAAAGAAATTAAAATCTATATCCACAAAAAGACTTATGCATGATTGCTATTGGCAACTTTATTAATGATAACTGGAAATGACCCAAATGTCCAACATGTGAAACAAACTGCAGTTTATCCATAGAATGCAAAATAAGACAGCAGTAAAAAGGAGCAAATTACTGATACATGTATCAATATGGATGAACCTCAAAACATTCTGCAAAATGAAAGAAGCCAGATACAGAAGAGTATACATAGTATATAATTTTTTTAATAAATTTATTTTATTTATTTATTTTTGTCTGCATTGGGTCTTCGTTGCTGTGTGTGGGCTTTCTCTAGTTGCAGTGAGCGGGGGCTACTCTTCATTGCGGTGTGCAGGCTTCTCATTGCGGTGGTTTCTCCTGTTGCAGAGCACAGGCTCTAGGCACGCAGGCTTCAATAGTTGTGGCTTGCAGGCTCTAGAGCGCAGGCTCAGTAGTTGTGGTGCACGGGCTTAGTTGCTCTGCAGCATGTGGGATCTTCCGGGACCAGGGCTCGAACCTGTGCCCCCTGCACTGGCAGGCGGATTCTTAACCACTGTGCCACCAGGGAAGCCCTATAGTATATAATTTATTACACCATTTATATAAAATCCTAGAACACACAAAATCAATTTACAATATGGCACTTTTAATGTTATATATATACATATATTGTACCACAACAAAAATAATGAAAAATAATCTGCAGTGACAGAAAGCAAACAAATGGTTTCTGGAACCTGAAGTTGACTGCAAAGGGGCATGAAAAAACTTTTTGGGGTGACGGAAATGTTCTGTAGCTTCATTATGGAAGTGGTTACGTGGATGCATATACTTGTCAAAATTCATCTAAAATGGGTATATTTTATTATATGTAAATCATACCTCAATAAAATTGATTTAAAAAGTAAAAACACATACACACACACAAAACTTTACTTACAAATGCAGGAGAAAAAAAAGTCTGAGAAACAAAGTATATGAAGGCCCAGTTAAAAGCACTGAAAAATAGTCATTTCAGTCTTTGTTTCAAAGGTCCTACTGTGATGTCAGGGCATTAATTTAATGTTGCTGTAATAAATTATCACCATCTCAGATGTTTAAAGCAATACAAACTTATTGTCTCACAGTGTTTTCTGTGGGTCAAGAGTCTGGGCTGAGTTCTTTGCTTACCTGGAATCAAGGTGTCTGCAGGGATGTGATCTCATCTGAGGTTTGGGGTCCTCTTCCAGGCTCATTCAGGTTCCTTAGCAGAATTGGTTCCTTGTGGTTGGATGACTGGAGTTATCGTTTTCTTGCTGGCTCTCAGCTCTTAAAGGCTGCCCTCAGTTCCTAGACATGTGGCTCTCTCATAACTTGGACACTATTTCATCAAAGCCAGCAAGAAAATCTCTTTTAAGGGCTCACCTGATAAGTTCAGGCCCACCAAGGATAGTCTCCCTTTTGACTAATTCAAAGGGCATTAATCGCATCTGCAAAACTCTTTCATCTTTGCCATACAACATAATCTAACCACAAGACTCATATCCTATACATAGATTCTTCCACAATCAAGGGGAGGGGATTACATAAGATATGTACACCATGGGTGGGAATCTTAGAGGCCACCTGGAATTCTGCCTATAGCCCTGAACAATTCATGCCTCTCCCAAAGGAAAAAACAAAACAAAACTGTGTACTCCGTCCCCAGGTTCCCCTCTCATCACATTACAGCATCAGCTCAAAATCCAAGATCTCATCATCTAAATCATTTATATCTGAGCAAATGAGGCTCCTGGCTATAATTCACTAAGTGCAGTTCCTCGAAGCACAATTCCCCTTAGTGACCTGTGAAACTAAAGAGATCAGTGCTCCCAACACTCCCATCGTACAATGGTGGGACTGGCATAGGAGGACAGTTAGAGACATTCCAGTTCAACAGGGGGGAAATGGAAGGTACAAATGAGCCACTGCCATATAACAATTCTGACATCCATCTGCGCAAATGTTGGGTTTTTACTGCTTAAGGTTTAAGATCTGGGAATAATCTTCCATGGTGCTCAGATCCTCTGAGTTATCCTTGCTTTTTCATGAAATGTAGCACATGTTTACAGGCGAGTAATTTTTTTTTTTTTTTTTTTTGGCCACACCTTGCAGCTTGCAGGATCTTTAGTGCCCCAACCAGGGATCAAACTCAGGCCCTGGCAGTGAAAGCACCAAGTCCTAACCACTGGACCACCAGGGAATTCCCAACAGGTGAGTAATTTAATCAGCCTGCTTCCCACCAGCAGAATTTTGCTGGGTCTAATAGCCTCTGCTATTTGTTAGAGTAGCACACCACTCCTGATACCAATCTCTGTCTTAGTTTTCTATTGCAGCATATAACAAATGACCGCAGCTTAAAACTACAGACATTTATTATCTCCCTGTTTTTGTAGATCAGAAGTCCAAGCATGACTTACCTGGGTTTTCTGCTTAGGGTCACAACCAGGCTGCAATCCAGATACTTCCTGGGGCTAAGGCCTCATCAGAAGTTTTACTGGGGAAGGATCTGCTTCCAAGCTCATTCAGGTTGTTGGCAGATTTCAGCTCCTTGCACCTATAGGACGTGAGACCGCTGGCCTTAAAGGCGGTATCATAGCAGGTGGCTTCTTCAAGGCAAGCAGGAGAGTCTCTCTTGCTCCAGTCAGCTGAGATCCAGCCTTATTTAACATAGTATAAACATGGGAAGGATATCCCGTCACTTTTACATCCCATCATCTTTGCTATATTTTATTAGCTGGATGAAAGTCACAGGTTCTGCTCACATCCAAGGGGATGGGATAATACAAGGGCATGACTCAATGGGGGCCACTTTAGTCTGCGTCCACGACATGTTCCTTTGTCTCCATTACCTTCGTCAACCGAGAAAAATTCCTCATGCCTTTCATATGAATATACCCAGTATTTGGAACAAAGCCTGACACACCAGGGTGCCAGATAATTTAAAGTGATCAAACTTTTGATCCCAGGACCCCTTTATACCCTTAAAAATATCATTGAGGATCTGAAAGAGCTTTTGTTTATATGGGTTATAGCTATTGATATTTATTGATATGTTTAAAAATTCACTTAATTCATTTAAAAGTAAAAATAACCTCATTATATATTAACATATATTACATTTTTAAAATTATATTTTCAAAAAATTGTGAGAAGAGTAACATTGTTTTACCTTTTTGCAAATCTTTTTTAACATCCATCTTGATATTAAGACAGCTGTTTTCTCATATCTCTTTCACATTCAATTTCACATCATGTGGCTTCTAAAAAACTCCTCTGTACACTCAAAGGGAGACTGAGAATTAAAAAGACAAATAGTATTATTAAAAATACATTTGGACCTTGTGGGCGCCCTGCAAGGATCTTGAGGACCTCCTGGAGTCCCCGGACCACACTCGGAACCATTGATTTAGAGAACTGTCATGAACTGAGGGAAGGGCGGCACTTTGATACATTCGAAAAGTACTTACCGAATGCCTACTCTGTGCTCGCGTGGGTTCAAAGGGAACTCTGTCCTCAAGGTACTCACAGCAGAGCGAGAGAAGAAAGGTTAAGGACCGCTTTAGTTCACTTTTGAGCTGAGGCTGAAGTGACAAAGGACGGGCCAGGTAGAGATCTGGAGAACGAGAGTTTAGACAGAGAAAGGGGGCGCCCTCCAAAGGTGCTGAGCCCTGCCTAGTTGGAGAGCAAGCAGAAGGCGCGAGGACGGCATGAGGTGGGCTGGGCCGGAGGAGGCAGAGCCAGACGAGGAATTTCGAGTTTTAAGTCTACATTTCTCTCTTTCTTTTTTCAGACCGCACCACGCGGCTTGCGGAATCTTAGTTGGCCCACCAGGGATGGAACCAAGGCCACAAGTAGTGGAAGCGCGGAGTCCTAACCAGTGAACCGCCTGGGAAGTCCCTAAGGCTAAATTTCCCGACAGTGTAGGGAGAGGAACGGAAGGGGGTGGGTGGGGAGGAACGGCTTAAGAAGGCGAGTCTGGAGGTGCGGAAGGTCACTCAGAAGTCAAGCACCCGCTCCTGCGCCAGGGCCAGTTCTGCTTCTCTGAGGCACGGAAACCTGCCTGGAGCCTCAAATCCGCTTAACTACACCACAGGGCCGGGAAAGCGCGCACACTACCTGGAGGAAGTTTGGGTCTCGGCGCCCGCCGTAGACGTCGTGCCAGAGGCGGCCCGTTGTCTTGGAGCCGGCGAGACGCCGTTAGGCCTTCCCCGCCGCGGTCACCATGTCGGTGCTGGATGCGCTTTGGGAGGACCGGGATGTCCGCTTCGACGTGTCTTCGCAGTGAGTCGCCAAGATTCCCCAGTGGCCGGGAGCCTATAGAGGGCGCCGCGGCGCGATTTCCCGACCCGCGGGCGGAGCCTAAGACCCTCGCGAGGGTGGGAGGAGGTTGGCGTCTGCTGTCCTCACCTCAGGAGACCCCAGACTGTCCGAGGCCCAGCGGCCCTCCCCAGGCGCCACAGCTGGAGCGCGTCTAGATTGTACGCAGTTTCGGTCCCTTACGATCCCCGGTCGCGTCTTGACCCGGGGGACCCGTCGGAAGCTGAGCCCAAACACTGCAGGGACCACCTTGGGCTTGGGCGTCCAGTACACCCCAGTGAGCTTGCGGTGCCAGTTTCGTAAGGTGGAAGGAATGTGGAGCAGGGACTCTGGAAACGAGGGTTCAGAAACTAGGTCTAGAATAAGGACACACATTCTGGGCCCTTAGAAAAATGACTTCACCGTTCTAAAGCTTGAGTCTCCGAGGGAAATGAGAGTAAGCATTCTCCAAAATCCCTGAACATGCAGACTTTATTTCCGTGGTAAGCTTCGTTTCTAGTTATTCATCTAAATCACCAACAGGAAGAAGGAACCCTCTTTTGGAGCCTCTCAAACAGAAGCCTTGTTTTTGGAAATTTTCATGTTTTAAAGAAAATAGTTAGAAACCTCCTGCCGGCAGTCCAGGAAAAAAGTGTCCATTGGGATAGTAAGTGTTGGAAAACAGTAAAGCTAAGGTTCTTGGGTTGATGGTTTGGAGCTTCTTAGCCAATTCGCATGCTTTTTTATTATGAACAGAACTTTCTTAGGTGGAAAAAATGAAATATTAATTTTCCAGGCTTAGCTGTGGCTAGATATATAATACTGACATGGTCTTGGATCCTTTAAGGCGTTGTGAGGGAAGGGAATTTGTAAAGTTATAAGCAACGGTTACATACTGCACACATTCTTTGACTTTTCCTGCTATTCTTGGAGGGTTCTTAAGCAAAGATTCATTTCATGAACATTTTCAGTTTATTAAACATTTATCAGATGCTTACTATGTACTGGTGACTGTGCTGATAGCTAAAGATACAAAAATAATAGGAAATGAGACCCTTCCCCCACCCCACCCCCATTCTACTGCAGGAGATAGATGTAGACAACTAACTATAAAAAATGTGGTAAATACCGTCATGGAAAAAATGAACAAAAAGCTGGAGGACCATAGAAACAGAAAAGTTCATTCTTCCTAGGGAAGGCCTCAAAGAAAAAATAATATTTGAATTGAGCCCTGATGAATGGTCAGGGCCTTGCTAGGGTATACAGGAGGAGAGTATTCCAGAAAAAAGAAAAGGAAGAAAAGAAAAAAAAAATTAGATGCAGAGTCTTAGAGGTATAAATCTCATTGGCTAGAAGCAGGGTCTGGCAGGTAGAGAAAGGAGGTGCAAATAGAAAGGTAGATTAGCTAGATTGTGAAATATTCAGTTGAGGATTTTGGACTTCATCATCTAGGTAGTGGGGTAATATGGCTTTTCAACAGTGAAGTATATGATCATGTCTGTATTTCCAGTAGGTAATTGAGTTGGCTTTATCGAGAATGTGTTAGAAGGCTCTACCACATATTCTGCTAGGTTTTTCTTTTCTTTTCTTTTCTTTTCCTTTGGCACTCTAGATTACATTCTATCAGTCAGCAACCTATTCTTCATTCTTTATTTCCTTTTGTCTCCTTTATCTGATTGTGTACCAAGTCCAAATGTTGCTTTGCTTTAATCTGTTCCTTCCATAACTGCACGACTCCTTTGCTTTACTCAGAAACCTCTGGGGCTTCTCCACTGTCCACAGGATAAAACCCATATCTATCTGACTGACATACTAGGTTATCCATAATCTGGTTCCTTCTTACCTATCCTACTATATTTTTCACTACCTCTCAACATGTACCTTCTTCCCCAGCCAGGCCAGTCTTCCTACATTCTCTTATCATTTCTTATTTCTGGTCCTTAATCATAGGTTCTCCTCTCTCTCTTTTATTTCTCCAAATCCTACCTCTCCTTTAGTTCTGACTTCTCTCCATGTCCCTGGTCACTCCAGGCCCCACTTGATCTCCAGGTTCTTTAAGTTCTTGAAAACCTTATTTTCAAATGCCTGAGCATTTGGTACTGTATTATTTATACTTTTGTCTGTTTTATATGCATATGCCTTTTCTCTCCCTCACTAGATGGTAAGCGGGTATAGTTGTAGCTAAAAAATTAAAGCCTTTATATTTATTTTAGACAAATGAAAACAAGACCTGGAGAAGTCCTTATTGATTGTTTAGATTCAATTGAAGACACCAAAGGAAATAATGGGGATAAAGGTGAGTATATTTCTAATGTATTTTATATTTCTGGTTTAAATTACAAACGTTAAGTTATATTAGCTGGAGAATAAGATATGAAACAGCATTATATGTCAATTATGGTTCCTGATGCCCCACCCCATACCATTGTAATAAGTCCTTCTGTAAATAAACCCCAGTTATCCTAATTTAAGTGAGCCATCTCTTTTCTGTTTGACCCTGACTGATAGATGCAGGTCTAGTCCTCTGTGATCTTGTGGGAACTTTACACTCTAGCCATGCTGGGTGACTTACTATTTGTCAAACATACCATGTAATGTTCCACAGTTTCTCTTGATAACGCCTTCCTTTGTTTTTAGGACCTCCTATCCCATCTCACTCCAGCATTCACACAGGCTTAGTTTCTCTGATTTTGGATATTCTAGGGGTTTTTTCAGGGAGGAAGGAGTATGACATGGCTATAGATTACTCATCAAAAGAATTCCATTGTTATAATTTGCTGAAGAAATGTGTTAAAGTTAAGAGAGTTAACTTAGTTCAAGATATTAGTTCAAGATATTTCAAAACTATCCTCATATGCTAATTGTATTACAAACTTCTAAGACACATAGTTTACCATGCACAGATTTACTTGACTTTTTTTTTTTCTTGGAGCATCTATAGGGACTACTATTTCATAGGACATACTTTGAGAAATGAAGTTTATCTAACGGTACATATTTCAGTGTAAGAACATCAGTTTGAGGCTAAGAATGAAAAGCATAAGCCTTAAACAGACTTCAGCCTAGCCATAACTTCATATGAGGAAAAAGTTTGCTCACAGCAAAAAAACTGGGTATATGAGTATATGGCTCATTTAAATGAGAACTGCCAAGAGACTGCTCAAATGGCAGGGATTCATATATATATGAGAGTTCTTTGAGAAGTGTGATTTCACTGAATGGCTTAATAATTATACTGTCCTGTACTCATACTCAATTGGACGCATATAACCTACTGGGACACCCAGAACAGCTTCTACTGAGAAAAAAAAAAAACAGTACAAAGTTTTCTCCTCTGTCAGTTGAGTCAAACCAAGGTGTTGGCAGTGAATACCTGTATTTTTTCAGTAACTATCAGATTTTGTTTCTCTGAGATTCTGAATCACACATTGTATACCTTACCTAGAATGGATATGCGCAATAAGTATTTTCAATTAATAACTGTATGAAAAACATCTGTGGGTGTTGCTGTTGGTACTGGGCCAGAAGTTTCATGTCCATCTCATTCTATACTGCAAAAATGGGTCCTTATTTAAGGTAATTTATTTTTCTGTTTGTTTGCTTTTAGGTAGACTCTTAGTAACAAATTTAAGAATTATCTGGCACTCTTTGGCATTACTCAGAGTCAATCTTTGTAAGTATCTTTGTTAGCATGAAAGAAAAAAAAATAATTTGTCAAGTAAACTTGCACAGTGGCTCTTGACACCAAAAGAAGCTATACTATGAAATATGTGAAAAACTTTAATTGATAAAAGCTTAAGAAATCCTAGACTAACCACAGACTGCCTCATAATGCAAAAGGAATGTTTTTTTCAGTCTGTCCATTTTGTCTCTTGGACATATACAAGATTAGTGCTTTCACACTGAATGATTTTTGGTTTCGTTTTTTACTTTACTTTGAAACTTGCTATAACCTGTTTCAAGTAATACCAAAGAAGGGAGATTAAATTCTAATAAAAGTACAATCTTTCATTGTGTTAAATTTTGTTTCATTTGTTTTTTAAAGGTATCGTAGATTTTCCAGCTAGACTTTTTCTCTTGATGTTGTGGTGCTAAGATTTTTAGTAAATAATACTGTATAGGTTTTAGAGAAGCAAACCTCCTTTTTCCCCATGTTGAGAATATTTTTGTTCAAAAGAGGCAGAATTATCTTTCTAGTCCTTTTAATTATTTAACTTAAATTTGTAGATATTTCATAAAAAATATTAATTGTATTTTTATATATATTTAATTTTTTAAACTTAAAAGTTCTGTATATATAGTTTTTTCCCTCAATTTATTGTATCATGTTCTTTAAATTCTTTGCTTTTAAATTTTAGCTATTGGTTACAACTGCATATTGAATATTACAACAAGGACTGCTAATTCTGTAAGTCTGAAAAATCTTATTGAAATATATATAGTGAAGAAACAGTAGATATTTGAGGTTGATGTTTGTTTTTACTATAAATGAGAAATTGCTCTTAAAATCTGAAGCTTTAAATAAATTTGTCTTTACAGAAATTACGAGGCCAAACTGAAGCTCTTTATATACTAACAAAATGTAACAGTACTCGTTTTGAGTTTATATTTACAAATTTGGTTCCTGGAAGTCCTAGACTTTTTACTTCTGTGATTGCAGTACACAGGTATGATAATACTTTATAGATTATTGAATATTTTTAAGGTAATTCTATGATATAAAGGTTTAGAGGGTAAAATTTCGACATGTGGTACTGTCTTCCTCCAAGCTCTATTGCAAACATCCTGAAGATACATAGAACATGTAGCATTACCATTTAATAAACACTTTGAAGGTATTTATAAAACACATAAAACTGCTGAAGAGTCTATTAAATTAGCTACCAAGGTAGTTAAAAATGAAATAGAGAATTCGTTCAATGTAGATAACCAAGTTGAATAATTCAATTAAGGAATTAAGGTTATTTTTCTAACAGTAGAAGGCATGATTGGGTAATTTCTCTAAAGAGAAATTTTTTGTTGTTTTGTGGTTGTTTGATTTTTTGTTTTCTTATTCTCTTTTTACTACCCCAGCTCTTTTTTTTTTTTAACCAGCCCTAAGTACTATGATTTTTTTTGAAGTTTGGCTAAGATGACAGGCCAAAAAAAAAAAAACCACACACACAAAAACTTATACACACAGATATGTATAGTATGTATATATACCATTGTTTTAATATGAATTTCTTTTATTACTAGTGATGTTGAAAGTTTTCATATTTGTTGGCTATGTATAGTTTTCTGTTGTAAATTTCTTAATTTTACTCCTATCTGTCATGTATGTTGCAAATTTATTTCTTTCCTAGTTGTTATTTTATTTTTTAATTATGTTGATGATTTTTTTAATCTATATAATGGTTTGCTTTTCTTGGAGATATAACTCACATAAGATAAAATTTACCATTTTTAAGTTTACAGTTTGGTAGTGTTGTATATTCACCACTACTCAATTCCAGAATATTTCCATCACTCCAAAAAAGAAACCCCCATAGTAGTCACTTCCCATTCCCTCATCCCCATGGTGCCCTGGCAACCACTGATTTACTTTCTGTCTCTGGATTTGCCTATTCTGAGCATTTCATATAAATGAAATCATACAATATAGTGGCATTTTATGTCTGACTTCTTTCACTTATGTAATGTTTTCAAGCATGCTACATGTTGTAGCATATATCAGTACGTCATTCCTTTTTATAGCTGAATAAGATTCCATTGTATAGATACATATTTTGTTTATCCACTCATCAGCTGATAGACATTTGGGTTGTTTCCACTTCTTAGCTGTTAGGAATAATGCTGCTGTGAGCATTTGTGTACATGTTTTTGTGAGAAAACATATTTTTTTAAGCTCTCTTAGGCATATACCTAATTCTTATCTTTTTATTTCAGTTTACTTAGAGAAGTAATATGAAATGGAGTATGAAGGGAACAGGGAAGCTACTTTTCTTTAATAGTATAAAAATGTTATGTGTTCCCTCCAAAACAATTTATAACATGAATAGTTTCCATTTTTTCCACTGGTTAAATATTGATGATTACCACCCTAAAGGAAATTAAGATTTATAGTCAAATGCTCAAATCCTGCTCTTTCATAATTTATATACTAGAAGATTAATTAATGTAAAAATCAGAAGTTTAACAATACATATTATAATTTATATAAATGACTTTGAAAGTTATTCAGGCAAAGAAAACCCTTTAGTTTTATTAAAAGGGTAAATTAGCCTGTATTTTTGCGGAGTTAAAATTAGAATTAACCAAAATTTAATCAGAATTTTCTTCTGTGTTTATTATTTATCAATAGGGAGACATGGAAAGAAAACAAAGTTATAGCGATTTTATTACATACATACACACACACAAATACATACACTGTCCTAGGGTACCTTTTGGAGTTGGTACAGATTCATTCTAATTTTCTGTATAAAGGTAGATGTGAGCATAATGTTTTCAGGTTTCAGTGAGAAAAGTAATTGCAGTCTTATATCAAAAGAATAATAGTACCTTTAACTAAAACAGAGAAATGAAGGGAAGCTTTTTGATAGAAAAATTAATTTCCATGTCTGTTTTTGCAAGCATTGTTCTTCAGCTTAAAGAAAAAAAATCTGCTTCCTCTCATTTGTGCCATACTATATATATTGACTTAAAAATTAGACATCTAGGGACTTTCCTGGTGGTGCAGTGGTTAAGAATCTGCCTGCCAATGCAGGGGACACAGGTTTGATCCCTGGTCTGGGAAGATCCCACATGCCACGGAGCAACTAAGCCCATGTGCTACAACTACTGAGCCTGCTCTCTAGGGCCCGTGAGCCACAACTACTGAGCCACATGCCATAACTACTGAAGCCCACGTGCCTAGAGCCTGTGCTCTGCAACAAGAGAAGCCACCGCAGTGAGAAGCACATGCACTGCAACGAAGAGTAGCCCCTGCTCACCTCAACGAGATAAAGTCCGCATGCAGCAACAAAGACCCAACACAGCCAAAAATAGATTAAATAAAATAAATTTAAAAAAAATTAGACATCTTAAATATAGGTACTGAGATAAAATGTGTAAATACTACACTGAAATGACAAATACAGTACAAAAGACTATAATCACCAAAACTTATTGAGAAGAAAAAATTTTTAATGTACCTTAGTAACTATTTGAGTATATAACTGTGTATTTTTGTAGATAAGTAAACATAATCTAAGAAAATCACATTTTCAGTTTGGATTAGTCTTTTGTTCTTTTTTATAGAGCATATGAAACTTCTAAAATGTATCGTGATTTTAAATTGAGAAGTGCGCTAATTCAAAATAAGCAACTAAGATTACTACCACGAGAACATGTATATGATAAAATCAATGGAGTATGGAATTTATCCAGTGATCAGGTACCATGCAAAGAACTAATGAACCTTTTGGGGCAGTGCTTTCTTTGGTAATCATTTTTCCATTTATGATTGGGTTTGTATATTTATTTAACTGTTAAAATAAGCATTAGAGCTCTTAATTAACATAGCTCTTGATATACATAATATTCTGATTTTCATATTTGTATGGTTTTAATGCTCTTTTTATCAACATTTGTTATGTGTAGACTTAGAGCTGGAATGGGCCTTTAAGGTCATCTAGTCCAGTCTCTATTCACTTACAGATGAAAAACTCAGGCCCTAAAGAATTAAGTGACCTCCACATCTATTCTGTCCCACAGCCACACTCTTCCCCCATACCACACTACCCTCCACATCATGATAACTTAGGCTGATTGAGGAGAGTTATAGGATGGACAGTCATGGAAGCCTTTTAATCCAGTCTTTATGGAATTAAACATATAACTCACTTGGTGACTCCTACATCCATGATTGTAACTTTTCATTTCCTCTTGAAATTATGACCAGAGGAAACATACAAGCAACTAATAGTTGGAATAAGAAAAAAATCAATTTCTAGAGAATAATTTGTCTCTTACTAAGAATAGTTTGCAGCCTTTGTGGGTGTTACAACCTAGATTCGACTGATAACCAGTGTGGCAAAGCTGTAGCATTTGATTGAAGAGCTCTTGCTAAACATGGAATCATAAGCTTAAATTGTAAATAAACTTTGCACACTTGAAAAGTTCTAGTTTTAAACTATGATAAATATTCTATAGGATATAGACAGCTCCCCATCTGAATAACTACCCATAATACTCATTTCTGGTATTTTATGCTGCTGTGAGAATCAGAATTATTCTCGTGTTTAGAAAATAAAGAGTAAGTATTCAGACATGATTGTTGATGCCTCTCTCATCACTCTCTTTTACAGGGAAATTTAGGAACTTTTTTTATTACCAATGTGAGAATCGTGTGGCATGCAAATATGAATGACAGTTTTAATGTCAGTATACCATATCTGCAAATTGTAAGTGCATGCATTTTGATGACCTTATTTTAATGTAGAATAAATAATTTCTGTTCAACAGTTAATAGGACTTTTGGGATTAGATGAGTTTTCTCTCTCCCTAGTGGCAACAGTTTAGCTGAGAGCATACTTTTTAAATGTTGATAATCAGAAAAGACCCAATTGTACTTCCATTCAAGGGAAACGGCACCATTATCAACTTGCTATTAAGAGAGAAATATACTGGAGTCTAAAAATTTTAATAGTTATCATACAGATTAAGGTGATTTTTCTTAGATTTTATTCAAAGGGCTTTTAGCTACTAAAGTTTTCCATAACCTTTCCAGGAGGCAAGTATATAGTGGTTCTTTGGCATGGCTTCAGCTCACTGACCCACACACTTTATGGCTGTCTTGCTACTTTCTGCTCAAACCCTTTTAAAGCCAGAGCGAATTCATTAATTCTGTGAATGAACAGTTTTTATTGTATTTGGATATAGCATGTACTATAAGCTGGATTCATACTACAAGTTCAGTGAAAGGAATCAAGATGGTTTTTAGTCATAATGGTTTTAGCTTAAATTAAAGCTGTTAAAATTTAGAATAAGAACTAATTACACCTGAGACCAGTTTGTTGGGGGGTAAATGAAGACGGTTCTTTTTACTCTGCTGCTGCTTTCATGGTAGGTATGTGATTCAGTGAAACAAGTAGTAAACTCCAATAATCTGAAGAATTTCATCTTATATATTTAAAAAAAACCCTACTTATTGGACCCTAGTGCAAATTAGATGGAACATAAAAATAGTTAATGAGGATCCTGTGAGGCTATCCTATGATAATCACCCTTATTACAGAATATAAGTAGTCTTAAGACTAAATAGTTTCATTAATAAATATTTATTGAGTATTAGATACAATGTATGTGATATCTGGAAAATGTCATTTTTTAAAGAGACCTCTTAACCTATGGGAAAGATGATTCTTTGCAAAATATTCCCAAGTCTGTCTTTTGCTAAATTGTTTGATTCCTGAGTTACTTTAAAATATTTGATCATTCATTTGCCAAATACTGAGCACCTACTCTATGCTCAGTGATGAAACTCATGAACCAGTATGCAGTTTCTGCCTTTAAGGAGCTTTCAGTCTGGTGGAGAAAAGCAACACGTTAAACAGAAAATCATAGGATCTGATAGGAAAAAAATTATTTCTGGCCATCTAAAGAAATACGAGAATTTATAAGCGTAGCTGGAAATATGTGACAGAGTCTACATAGGTATTTGATAAGTTGATGTTTGTATTGTTCGTTGCTGTTTTATATTGCATTTACATATCAACGTCTATTATGTTGAATAATTACTGAGTAGTAAACAACTTTGTGATTTCTGTTCTCCAAGTAGGATACTTTTCGTTATTTAAGAATGCCGTTGCCAAATACGGATTCTGGAATGAATTCAGCCTGGCCCAAACAACTTGCAATCTGATATCATCACAACCTGTCACTGGGGCAGTCACGTTCTAACTTCAGCTCTGGGCCTCAGCCATTGTCCTGACTCCCTTCCTATAGATGTATATTTATATATGTATCTTCTTGCCAGTTTCTATCTTACCAGCCTGTGTCATCCACAGTTACCTGGTTATATTACCTATTCACAAGCAGGATGCCAGTGTTCTATGGTTCTTAACCAGGACTGTGTGTACTCCTGGCAGGGTGTGAAGTAGTCTAGATGGAAGCCCAGGTTTTCATAACAATTACCATTTAGGCTGTCTGTCTGTCTGTGTCTCTCTTTCTCTCTTTTTCTCAACTTCTAATGCCCATCTGTCTGGAAGTATGATACACAGTCACCTACCACAGATTATTATCCTTCTTGGACTTTTGGTCTGCTGGTTATAATGTTAGATCCTCCATGGTTCTCTCTAACCCTGCCAGCAAGTACGTTTTGTTTCACTTTCTACAGGTCCTGCATGTCATTATGCTTCTGCCCCTCTACCCTTCTCCCAGGCCACTGGTATCACTGCTCATCCACTAGCCACGCTTCACCCTCATGTCACACTTACCAGTTGAGTTAATTATATTTGACCTATCCTAGCCTTCTTTGATGCCCAGTGATGAATGCCAGTACTTTTTTTTTTCAATAAATGCAGTGGAGGTTCTTTCAGAATTTAGTCATTTATTGTGTAAGAAACAGAAGGCACATGCAACATTTTTTTTAACATCTTTATTGGAGCATAATTGCTTTACATTGTTGTGTTAGTTTCTGCTGTATGACAAAGTGAATCAGCTATACGTACACATATATCCCCATATCCCCTCCCTCTTGCGTCTCCCTCCCACCCTCCCTATCCCACCCCTCTAGGTGGTCACAAAGCACCGAGCTGATCTCCCTGAGCTGATCTCCCTGTGCTATGCGGCTGCTTCCCACTAGCTATCTATTTTACATTTCGTAGTGTATATATGTCCATGCCACTCTCTCACTTCGTCCCAGCCCTTCCCCCTTCCCATGTCCTCAAGTCCATTCTCTAGGTCTGCGTCTTTATTCCTGTCCTGCCCTTAGGTTCTTCAGAACCCTTTTTTTTTTTTTTTAGATTCCATATATATGTGTTAGCATACGGTATTTGTTTTTCTCTTTCTGACTTCACTCTGTATGACAGATTCTAGGTCCATCCACCTCACTACAAATAACTCAATTTCGTTTCTTTTTACAGCTGAGTAATATTCCATTGTATATAGGCACATGGGACTTTTAAAAACTAACCCAGCCTTAGGAGCCACAAAAGACACTGGCTCTCCATAACTAAAGGATTGCTGGCCTTTGGTTTAAAATATTCAGAAAAGTTGTGGACTCCCTGAAGCAGGGGACATTTAAGTCAGAATTTTGTACATATTTCAGAGATGTCATCTTTGTGTTGCCTTACAAATTTGCCACCTATTTCCAGTATGAAAATTTTCATTTAATTGATCTCTATAGGAGTGTAAGGAAAAAGGAAAGAGGAAGAGTTCTGTTCTTCGGACTATGAAAAGTAGTTACTGTGTAAAAGTTGAAAAATGTGTTAAAATGTCACTACTATCAGACAATAAAAACAAGCTTTTTTTTTTTTTCGTTTTATATCTAGCGGTCAATAAAGATTAGAGATTCAAAATTTGGTTTAGCTCTTGTCATAGAAAGCTCTCAGCAGGTAAGATACTTCATATTTTTATTAATCTTTAATAGATTTAAAAAACTATGTGACAGTCTATATTTTTAGTTTTATTTTTATAGTAACCAGTTTATATCCAAGAAGAGTATTAGCTGTAACATGAGATTATATGAAGAGTTTGAGTTTGAAGTCATATAGTAATTGTCCCCATGGGAAGAATCCTGCTTATATTTCTCTTTTGGGCAGACATATTAATTATGATTACAGTCATGACATTATTTCAATCTTTACACAACCCTATGATACAGTTACTATTTTTTCCCCATTTTTTATTCAAGGAAACTGAGACTTGGAGAAGTTAGAAACCTTGCCCATGGTCTAATAACAGTAAGTGATAGGGCTAGGTTTTGATTCCAGGTCTGACTGATTCATAAGACTGTCTTTGAGCAACACAGGTCTATACAGATAAACACACCCTATTTGAGATTTTATACCATCAAACTCAGATTACACTGTATCTAATTATAGACTGCTACGCCCCATTATGCCTGGTTTTTGCATTTATGTGTTTTAATAAATTTTTTTAAAAAAGAGATTTTTCTCTTCTAAATTCTAAATTTAAATATGAATGTCCACTCACTCCTTTCCCCAGCATCATACAGCTAGTTGTATGATGTAAACCATACATCATATGTAGTGTTGTAAAACCAGGATTTGAACACAAAAGTGTATGCTCTCAACCATCACCATATGGATACTTAATTTTTTAACACTTCTTCTCCAACAAACTGTCATGGGCAAGTTTCTTTCCTAATTCTTCAAGGAGATAGCCTCAGGTATGCCATTCCCTTTTTTATTTTAATATATAGCCTATTCCTTTTCAAGGTCTAGCTCAGGAAAAACTCAGTTCCCTTGGCCTTCACAATCTATGGCATATTTTTTTTTAATCTTGAAATATTAGCTTTGATACTTACAGATGAAATTATGTGATATCTGGATATATTTCAAAGTAATCCTGAGTGGATGAGGGGAGGAGATTTAGGGGATGGGGAGGTTACGTATGGAACAGAGCTGGCCATATGTTGTTACTTGTTGAAGCTGGATGATGGCTACATGGACATTTATTGTACTCTTCTATTTTTGTATATGCTGGAAGTTTTCATAATAAAAAATTTAATTTAAAAAAATCAGCCTACAGGGCTTCCCTGGTGGCGCAGTGGTTGAGAGTCTGCCTGCCGATGCAGGGGACACGGGTTCATGCCCCGGCCTGGGAAGATCCCACATGCTGCGGAGCGGCTGGGCCCGTGAGCCATGGCCGCTGAGCCTGCGCATCCGGAGCCTGTGCTCCACAACGGGAGAGGCCACAGCAGTGAGAGGCCCGCATACCGCAAAAAAAAAAAAAAAAAAAAAAAAATCAGCCTACATATTGTGCTCTGAAGTAAGCACAGTTAGAGCTGTAGTTTATCATATACTGTAAATACTGTTTCTCAGACTTTTCATTTTTTCATTATTTTCTCTTACAGAGCGGAGGATATGTTCTTGGCTTTAAAATAGATCCTGTGGAAAAACTACAAGAATCAGTTAAGGAAATTAATTCACTTCACAAAGTCTATTCTACCAGTCCTATATTTGGAGTGGATTATGAGATGGAAGAAAAGGTAATTTGTTCAGTGTGTGATATACAGAGTTTGCTCAATTGCCTTTACACAATCTATAAAATTCAGATATAACACATTGTGTACAATTTAATTTTAAACTATGTTTAAAATGATGAATATACAGGCTCTGCTCAGTGAGTATGGCCAATGCTAATTTGTGCCTACCACCTGTTTTCTCCCTGGCTGCGTCACCATTCATTCCTGCCCATCTAGGTAGCAGCCTATCCAAGATGTCCCCATATGCAAGGCTCTTCTGATATAGAGACTTGAATCTCCCACCCTTTATTTTTATTTTATTTCAACTTTATTTTTATTTTACTTCAGCCAGCCATTAGCATTTGGTTAAACCTTACAGGCCTCACAGACACCATTCTCTTCCCCCAATGACCCACAATATGGCACCTCCAGGAGGCTGCTCCATTAATATGGCCTGTGTCTGTTCCTATTCATCAGATCCTCTTCCATGTCAGTTGTGAAAAATTTTGAATATCATGCCCACATGTCTGCTCTTTGCCTTCCTCACGACTTCTGGTTTCTGCACCAGTCCCACTCTCCAGGTACATCAGCTGTCTTTTGGGTTTACTCTTCAGCCTCTGCAGCTGGGCCCCTTGTCATCTGGTGTTTCACTGTTGTCCTCACCAGCCACTTCATTAGAGACTCCTCGCCGTCTGCTCTGACAGTGGTACCCTTGCCAGAGGCGCTCTGTCACACCTTCCCTTGCTGTCTGTTCTTGTCCTGGGGCCCTTACCGTACGCTCTATTGCTGGTGTCCCTGCCACCCACTCTTTCGTCAGTGTCCCTGCCAAGACTCAGCATGTTGAGCCATATCACATATATTATCTGTCTCTCTTCCTGCTCTTGGACTACAGCAGGTGACCAGGAAGATCAAGAAGTAGGACTGGACAGCTAAGTACAAATTCATACCCTCTGACTTCAACCTCGTTGTGCTCCATATACTTAATTTGTTTGTCTCCCTGTCAAATTCCATATATATCCCTTTCCCCTTCCAGCTGAAACTTGTCTCTGGATTGTTGACGCCATATTGTACATACACTCTATTTCGTCTCCTTAACCATCATTTTCTGCTTTCTTCCCAACCTGCACTTCTTTCAGCATTCTCCCTTTCACTCTACCTTCTCTGTATATTCCTCAGTAATATCACCTCCTCCTCCAGTTTCTTCAAGTTGTACTTCTGTAGATGACTCCCAAATCTTTCTGATCTTGGCATACTCTGTAAGCTTACCAGGGTTCCAAATATTTCTTGAATATTTTCACATAGATGAGCATTCCAAATAACATGAATTGAATTTCTCATTTAAAAGTTTATCTTAGGGTCTTCCCTGGTGGCGCAGTGGTTGAGAGTCCACCTGCCGATGCAGGGGACACGGGTTCGTGCTCCGGTCCGGGAAGACCCCGCGTGCCGCGGAGCGGCTGGGCCTGTGAGCCATGGCCTGCGCTTCTGGAGCCTGTGTTCCGCAACGGGAGAGGCCACAACAGTGAGAGACCCGTGTACCGCAAAAAAAAAAAAAGTTAATCTTAGTAATTTAATTAATAATTTTCCAAGTCAGTAAGTTACACTAGGACATGGTTGAATATCTCAAACTTGGCATACCTAAAATCTTGTCATTTTTCTCAAAAGCAGTATCTTGCTGATTTATCTATTTATTTATGCACTACTTATTTATTTTTAACATTGTCAAAGTCAGATGTGCTCAAAACTCTGGGGTTTTCCTTTTTTATTTTTCTCATTATCTTACTTTACACATTCAGTCAGTTGTACCAGTCTCTTCCCTTTTCCTATCCCTTTCTTTCCATTCAAACTGCAGTTTCCTTTGCTACTTTTGCTTGTAGAATAATGTTATAGAACAAGCATGGTCCTTGGAACCTGACAAACCTGACTTCAATCCCAATTTCACCATTTATTTGTGATCCTAGGCAAATTTGAGCTTCAGTTTTCACATTATAAAATGAAGGTAATCTCTCTTACAAAGTTATTGATCATGTCTGTAAAGTGGCTGGCACATTGGAGACAATATGTTAGTTCTCCTACCCATTCTGTCTCTACCTTTCATTTCTCTTCTTTTCCCCTTCTTTGGCCCTCAGTACATAATAATAACCAGCCATAGTAGCTTGTTTTGTCACCACATATAAGTCCTTACTCCAAAGCCACTTCTTCAGGGAGGTCTTTGGACTATCCATCTAAAACACCAACCCCCGTCACTTTTTTATCCCTTGTTCTGCTTGTTTGCTCACTTGCTTGCTTGCTTGCTTTATTTTTGGTTAACACTAATCAGTCTCCTTCACTATAAACAATCTCCATGGGGCTTCCCTGGTGGCGCAGTGGTTGGGAGTCCGCCTGCCGATGCAGGGGACACGGGTTCGTGCCCCGGTCCGGGAAGATCCCACATGCCGTGGAGCGGCTGGGCCTGTGAGCCATGGCCGCTGAGCCTGCGCGTCCGGAGCCTGTGCTCTGCAATGGGAGAGGCCACGGCAGTGAGAGGCCCGCGTACCGCAAAAAAAAAAAAAAAAAAAATCTCCATGAAGTTAGGGATTTTTGTCTATTTTCTTTAATTATTATATCTCCAGCAATCAAAACTAGCACATAATAGGCTCTTAGTGAATATTCATAGTTGTTGAATGGCTATGTTGAATGCCTACTCTTTGCTGTTCACTGCTCTAAGAACTTTATATGCCTCATCTCGTTTAATCCTCCTAAAAACACTATAAAGTGTATCATCATCATTATTATTAGCCGCATCTCACAGTTAAGGAGACTGAGGCGTAGATAGGTTAATTTACTTGTACGCAGTCACACAGCTCTGAACATGGTTGAAACACCAGCTGTCCTCGGACTAGGGCATCAGGGCACCTCTTGTCAGCAGTACACTTCTACCATCAACTTTACCCCACCAATTACCTATAAGTAGTCCACATTCTCTGAGCTGGTATTAAAAAATTTCAGTAAACTTCAGTCTACCTTTCCCACCTTATCTGCACAGCCACAGTGTCTGGTTCTGTAGGCTGTGCACTGCCCAGAGAACATTGTTCACGTAGACTCCAGGGTGAATGATACTCCTTGGCATTTTTCAGTACAATATTCTGTGTAGCTCCTTCTGTCTTGTGGGACTCTCATATTTTGACCATATTGGATTATTCATCTTCTTCGGCTATATCCTGTGGTTTCTCACCTTTGCTGATACTGATCCCCTCTGTCAGGAATACCCTTTCCCCTAATCCCACCTATGAAAATCATCCTCATCCTAAAAGCCCTAGATCACGTGCCAGCTTTTTCTTCATGAAAGTTTCTGGCATGCACAAGCCAGAAGTTGTGCTGTCTCCAAACTCTTCTATTATAATAGATATTGCATTTGTTACAGCTATTTTTTGTAGGTTGAACTATATGATATTATTAATATTTGACCATTTTTTACTAAAATGGCAATTTCATATAGTTCAACCTGATATTTAGTTATTTATAATTGTGTTTTGTCCTTCATTCCCACTAGATTACACACCTTTTGTGGTAAGGGCAGAGACTTTAAACCTTTGGTAGTACCAGCATGGTACCTCATACACTAAAGATATTCAAATATTTGAAAAATGAATTAATAGATACCAGCACTATATTTATTCTGCTTCACCTTTAGAGTATTCCATACAAATCTTAGTTCTTCTTTTTCACAAATTCTATTTAATGACTATTTTGAGGAAAATTTAAAACTTGCTATTATACAAAAGTTAGTTTTTTTAAACTTAAACTAACAGATAGTTTTTATCTACCAGAAAATCAGATAAAATCCAATGAGAGTGTTTTTCTTGATGGATATTTCTAAGTATCATATTAAGTTTGTGTAAATTTGTCATTTTAAATCTTTTGATGATATTGACTTCAGATTTAAAAGCTCGGGTTTAACTGACTCATTTTATTATTCATGTTAGTTTTAATAGAATATAAATTATGCAGTGATTTTTGTAAGACTTGAGTGGTTGGTAACTGTGATACCCTTTTACAGGTATTTACAATTCTCACAGCACATTTTACTAAAATTATTTATTTGATTAATATTGTCTCTGATACATTTTAACATCTGATTTAACTGATTTTCTTTTTCTTTTTTCTTTTTTTAACATCTGCTGATTTTCAGCCACAGTCCCTTGAAGCTCTGACAGTTGAACAAATTCAAGATGATGTAGAAATAGACTCTGATGATCACACAGATGCTTTTGTGGTGAGCATCACAAAGAAGAGCTACTAAATTTCTTGTGATTTTTTTTTTTAATCTGAGTCATGTTTAATTAAATAATGCTTTAAGTGTGTAAAATAGCATAGAACTTGAGACTTTTTAGAATGTCTTAAACATGAGTTGGAGAGTAGTTTTTTTTTTCAGGTTAGGGATTTTTGTGTGTGTGTGAAAATACTTTTAAATTACCAAACTGGGAAATAGTTTGAGAACATACTTATTCAGAGGATTTCAGATGTGTGAAAAGTTTTTTCACACTTTAAGATAACAGAATATATTAAATATAGTTAATTTAATTAATTTAAAGTCTATACTTTCCATAAGTAATCTTTATGAGATGGACCTCCCTCCTTTCAGTTTATAGGTATATTATCTTAAAATGGATTTCTATTTGAACAGTAAACTTTCTTGTTTCCAAATTTGTACTATTTAATTAATAGCCAAAATAATAATAATACTTTCTATGTACTGTGGTCTATGAATCTGACTAGACTATCTCTCTGGGAATGAAAGTTTTTAAGCAAAGTGTGAAATAAGTATAAGATAGTTAATAATAAACTACTACTGCCTCAGTGTATGCATTTGCTGACACATTGAAGCACTGATTGCTTTGTTTTGTTTTGCCAGCATCTTCTTCTAAACCAAAAGTAGGGGTGAAATTTTATAGCTGCTTAGTCATTCTTTGTATCTCCTTTCAAGTTAACAATGCTAGTTATACACCAATTACAAAGCACATTTTTAGCGCTTAAAGCGTAACTCTTGAAGACATAAATGATTGACAGAAGAAGTGAATTCTGCTACCAGCATTGTAAAGATAGGTGAGAAAACCATTAGACACACAGTAACAGAATATAAAATACAGTTAGTTACAGAATTGTTCTGTAAATTAATTACCTGTTCCTTGGCCTGTTAACCTATTATATATCAAGTATGTGAAATATAATTTTCCTTGTCTTACAGGCTTATTTTGCTGATGGCAATAAGGTAAGGATATTTTACCTATAGTATATGAAAAAAATTTTTCTATATTCCAGTATTTAGTATTCACAAACTTATGTGAAACCTATTTTTTGTTTTTTTTTCCTCTTCCTTGCCCACCTTCTCTATTCCCATCTCATCCTCTTATCTCCCAAAAAGCAACAAGATCGTGAACCTGTGTTTTCAGAAGAACTGGGGCTTGCAATAGAGAAATTGAAGGATGGATTCACCCTACAGGGACTTTGGGAAGTAATGAGTTGATCTTGAGTTGAGCTGGGTTTCTATTTAAAGATATCTCAAGATTAAAGATACTAGTCGCCTGCTATAAGGCATGGCATAGTTTTTACATTTACAGAAAAAGCTTTTCAGAGAGTTTTTTTAATGATTAAGGAAAAACTCATTTGTCAAAGATTTTATTGCCAGTCTTCTAAAAATTATATTTGAAATTGTAATCAAAATGTATCTGGTTTGTTGTAAATATGTTTATTTTGTAACTAATACTTGTAAATTATTAGTCTGTGGATATTAAAAGACTGTATCATGTTGAGTTTAATAAAGAATTTATGCAGCACCATTAAATGTTTTGAAAGTGTTATCTAAAAGCATAAGACTATTCTTATGGAGTAATCAAAATGCTGCTTTTTTAGTTATAAAAATCTGGTTTAAATATATTTATCACATAGCTCCAAAGGTAAGCCAACTCTCATATAAATTAGAAACCTTAAGCTTGTCATTTTTAGGTAACCATTTATGTAAAAACTAAAAATTTTAGCTAACTTTGGAGGATATCAACCCCTATGTAAAGTTTTGGGCACTATTTTGGAAATAATTTCAATATCGTTTTGGCAAGAATACATTTATTTTGTAAGGAAATAGTTTTAAATAGTTTTTAAATAAATAGTTTATTTGTTGACTTGCTCTTTGTTTGCATTCATTGAAACTTCTTTGAAGTTTTCAAAAATATGATATTATTTTCTGATTTCTTGGTCAGGTAAGATTTGGTGACCTCTCTTGCCTAAGTGTTTTTTGCCACTGCTTCAGTATAAAGAAACTTTGTAAGGAACTTTTGTCAAAACATTAACCCGCTTTTTCTAGAGTGAAAAAAGTGAGTGTGTAAAATCATTTAAAATAAGATGCAACTGTATGTACAACCGTAGACACATAGTACAACCAAGGGCTAACCTGAGTTTAATAAAGATCAATGAACAAAAGCTATAAATTGGTTTCTTCATTTAAATAGGAAAGGATTTTTACATTTTTAAGGGATGGGGTTATAATAACCTATATTGGGGGAATATGTTGCTTGAAAAATGTGTACAGGTCAAAAAAATGCAGCTAGGAATATTGTTTCAATAGTTTTTCAAGCAAAACAGACTATAAAATTGCCAATTAGTAAGGAATAATCTCAAAACGTCAAAACACTGTGTTTGCATCTGACTCATTAATCTTTTCAGATGTTAGGTGTTACGTGTAAAGAGAAATGAGTCATTTATTGTTTAAACAAGGGAGCAGCTGTTGGTTTTTTCTAGTGTGTTAAAACCTTTAGTGGCCTCTATAAATGGAAAGAGTCAATGAGCTCTTCTCTCAGCTGTTGTTTTAGCAGCTGACAGTACCATTGACTTCACCGTGATGTAAAATAAGGGAAAAAACTTTTACTGATGGATGGAGACCTTGAAGTTTAAAAATACATAATTCCCTGATCTGGGAGCATTCATTGATTCACTCAACAAACATTTATGGAGGACCCGTGAGGCCCTGTGGCTATAGCATTGAGCAAAACAAACCTCCCCCAAATCCCTGTCTTTATGGAGCTTATGTTCTTTTGAGCATGTTTAAGAATACCAACCTTTGAAATTACAGGATTTTTACAGCCCCACTGAGTTTTTAAAAATGTGAGAATATAATTTTGTAATAAAATATTTCATGAAGAAGTATATGATGCTATTTGTATGTAAACAGGATCAATTTTTTTTCAAGTCATGCTTTCTGCATCCCATAATTAATATGGTGTGTTCTATTATAATCAACAATTTAAATTATGATTCTAGTCATATACTTTTTTTGTGTGTATATAAAGCCTGTTTTTCAAATTATACCAGGAATGTAGCACTTCATCCTGATTTTGCTATGTTCTATTGATTACATTGTTCTCATGGGGTTACAATACATCTGTTCTATTTTTTAAATTTTTATTTAATGAAAGATCAACACAAAACCACAGAATATCTTTAGTGATCATACTGTATGTGTGTAGATTTTTTCTTTCCCTAGGGCCGACTTTTAACCTTTTTTTTTTCTTGTCTTAATGTTTGCCACATCAAATCCTTTGTAGAGCAAGGCAGGGTGTGAACAAATTAAATAATTTCATAATTTAATTCAATACTAATTATAGTTTTTCCACTTAAAAATACCGATAATTTGGAATGTCTTAGAAAATAGCAGTTTCTCTGCATTTATTTTCAATCATGATGGGGGGATATTATTATTTTAAAGGTTTTTTTTCCAAAAAAAATCTATAATTATAGTACCTAAGTAGAAGTCTTTGTTTCCTACTTCTAAAAGAAGATTATATATCCCACTGTTTTGAGTAGAAAATAAAAATTTGTAGCAGTTATTGGAAAGGGGATCTTGCTTATGAGTATCCAAATGAACTCAGCTCATATTCTTGAACTTTGCATCATTAATTCAGATAGCCAAGTAGCTTGCCACTAGACCATTTTTAGCGGACTGACTCATTTTTATGATTCAGTGTTATGTTAGTTTAATAAGCATTTTCTTGTGGTAGCCTTTATTAGCATATCTTCTAATGCTTTATGTATTTTAAAGCTTTCCACTTCATTTAAATCTCTTGTTTCTTAGCTGTTTCCTTAGTGATTAAAAGTTCCAGTTGTTCCTTTCAATCTGTAACAGCTGCAAGAACTCTTCTTTCCAAACTAGCTCTCCTAAATTCCCTTGTTAGAGTTGGTATCTATATTTAGCTGGTGGGATTAAATTGCAAAGGCTTCAGGCTGGGCAAAGCACACTGATCTGCCTTTTTACTGCTAGACCTGTGTGCTGTGAGGAGCTAAGGCCTTAGTGTCCCCTTCCTTACCCAGGTTACTCACAAAATGGATTCCCAGCGGGAACTTGCAGAGGAACTGCGGCTTTACCAATCCACCCTTCTTCAGGATGGTCTAAAAGATCTCCTGGATGAGAAAAAATTCATCGATTGCACACTAAAAGCAGGTGACAAAAGTCTTCCTTGCCACAGATTGATTTTGTCAGCTTGTAGTCCTTACTTCCGTGAGTATTTTTTATCTGAAATTGATGAGGCAAAAAAAAAGGAGGTAGTACTAGATAATGTGGATCCTGCTGTACTGGATTTAATCATTAAGTACCTGTACTCTGCCAGTATTGATCTCAACGACGGAAATGTGCAAGATATTTTTGCATTGGCCAGCCGCTTTCAGATCCCCTCTGTGTTCACTGTCTGCGTTTCTTATCTTCAGAAAAGACTTGCTCCTGGTAACTGTCTAGCTATCCTAAGATTAGGACTTCTTCTTGACTGCCCGAGACTCGCCATCTCTGCCCGTGAATTTGTGTCTGATCGCTTTCTACAGATTTGTAAGGAAGAGGACTTCATGCAACTGTCTCCACAGGAGCTGATCTCAGTCATTTCCAATGACAGCCTAAATGTAGAAAAGGAAGAAGCTGTATTTGAGGCAGTGATGAAATGGGTGCGAACAGACAAAGAAAACAGGGTTAAAAACCTTAGCGAAGTGTTTGATTGTATCCGTTTTCGCCTTATGACAGAAAAATATTTTAAAGATCATGTTGAGAAAGATGATATAATTAAAAGCAACCCAGAACTCCAGAAAAAAATCAAAGTTCTCAAAGATGCCTTTGCAGGCAAACTCCCAGAACCTAGCAAAAACACAGAGAAGGCTGGGGCTAGTGAGGTGAATGGTGATGTTGGTGATGAAGATTTACTTCCTGGTTACCTGAACGATATTCCCAGGCATGGAATGTTTGTCAAAGACCTCATCCTCTTGGTTAATGACACAGCTGCAGTAGCTTATGATCCCATGGAAAATGAATGCTACCTTACTGCACTGGCTGAGCAGATCCCCAGAAATCATTCCAGCATTGTTACCCAGCAAAATCAGGTGTACGTGGTAGGAGGCCTCTATGTGGATGAAGAAAATAAAGATCAACCTCTACAGTCGTACTTCTTCCAGGTAAGGAAGGATATTTTCATATATGTAGAGACATAAAGGAAAGGCTGTTAGTCCCCATCTAGTTAGCTGACTTGTGAATTGTTCAGGCTGCTTGTATTTTATTCTACTTGATGTGCTATTCCAGTCCCTTGAATTTTCATTACTTGGAGGGCTGACAAATATTTGAATCAGTTAACTGCTTGTTAATATTTAACGTTTTGGTAAAGAATGAGGTTCTATTAATATTTAATAAACGTTTTGGAAAAGAATGAGGTTCTAATTAATGTATAAGTGATGGCTCACAATTTTCTTTATGCACTTTTACCCAAAATGTCATGTTTATAGTTGATTGTGACTGTAACCCTTTAAAGTCCAGTATTTTAGTAAAAACGAAATTTAATCTTGTGTCCTCTTTCTGAAAAACAGGTTACTGTATTTCCCAAAATCAAAGTACTTTACACATTACAAAATGTTATAATTGATCAGATTTTCTACCTTCTTCCAAGTTTCCTTGAACTGATTTGAAGTTCCTGGAGGTAGCATTTCATCTCTTATTTATGGTTACTGCCTAAAATATACTTTTGTTGAAAATGAAAAGAACTTGTATACATATTTTACATGCTTTGGATTACCTTCTAGGAAACACTGTCTACACAAGTGTCACTCATTTGGATTAATTGTATTTGGAAATATTTATTTATGATAAATGATCAAATTTATTTGGATCAGAGTTGTACTTAGACATATTGGCAACTTAATCTGTATTATGAAACCGTAGAAGTTTCCAAGAAAACACACCCTCCTAAACTAACACTCTTTGTAGTTTGTTTGAAAGGAGTTCGTTTCATATTATCAACACATTATATTTACCAGTTTATGAAGGAATCAGTGGCTTAACCTTCATCTTTAGTAATGTCAGTACCAGTACTTTGTAGCTTACAGATAGTTCAAAAGAGTTTGTTTAGGTCATGGCTACTTATGGCCTGGGGTTTATGGGCACTTGAGTTGGAAAGGCCAAAGACAAGCATGTGTAGAATGTCATACCACAGTCACTGAATGCTTTCAAAGTGTGTAACATACGATGCATTTATAAAGCACACTTTTTTTTTTTTTTTTTGCCGTACGTGGGCCTCTCACTGTTGCGGCCTCTCCCGTTGCGGAGCACAGGCTCCGGACGTGCAGGCTCAGCGACCACGGCTCACGGGCCCAGCCGCTCTGCGGCATGTGGGATCTTCCCTGACCGGGGCATGAACCCGTGTCCCCTGAATCGGCAGGCGGACTTTCAACCACTGCACCACCAGGGAAGCCCTAATGCACACTCTTTAACCAGCTTTTTCTAATCTTGAAAAATGTAATAATGTTAATCACGGTTCTTAATTTTCCAAGTTCCATTAAAGAATGTTAACTATGAAATATGATTACAGCTTCTATTTTATTTTTATAAGTATTTGAATGTGGGCCAGAAAATTTCCTAAGCCCTAATTTTAAATTCAGATAAATTTCAGGAAGGGTAAATTCAATTGAAAAGGCAATAATTTTATCTAGGAAGTAAAAATGACATCAAAATACAGACAGACACATACCTGGAAATCATAGACCCAAAGAATACTTAATAGCCTTATCTTTATTCTCTTCCATCCTGTTACTGCCCTTGCTTTTATTGACACAGCCTCTCATTTCTGAAACCTGCTTGATGTTGTTCCTTTTGGCTACAAAAGGTTATACAAAGTTGAAAGGGTCGACTCCCTGTCATTTCCCATGCCTTGCTCCTTCTAAAAGGCACAAATAGTGGGACAAGATGCCAGGATAAAAACACCTGACTGTAAAAGAGGGTTATGACTCACAAGAAAATATATGTATGAGAATCTCAGGCTTTGTATTTTCTGCTTGGTCACCTCTGTTTAAAATGTATTAAGTTAGGATTCATATGACCTTTGATTGTATACTAGAATTAGATTATGAGAATTTTTTTACCTAGGTAAGAGCCGGTTTTTTCCATAGA